GCTGGCCAAGGGGCGGCAGACGCCCAGGGTTCCGTTCAGGGCGGCTGCACCTGCAGACGGGGCCGCCGGGGACACCGCGGCATCAGGACCCCCTGTCCCCAGTTCGCCTCTGGACCCCGTCATCTCCTGCTCCTACGCCCCCGCCGTGCTGCCAAAGTCCAGAGTCACACGGGAGGCCGAGACCCCGAAACCCAGGTCTGACGCCTCACCTCAAGCTCAAAGAAACCCGAACCCTGCTGGGGCTCAGGGCCCAGACTCCCAAAGGAACCCAACTCCGACGGTCACCGGGAGACGGATCCAGGACCCCATGGATCCCAACACACACGATGCTCAGAGCCCTTCCACAAAACAATGTGGTGTTCGCATGCAACCTGCACACATCCCCTTAGACTTCTGGTTTCAGTGCCGAGGACGGAACACAGGGCCTTTTGCACCGAGCTACAAACCCAGCCCCTTGCTTATTTTTCATTTTAAGGGAGAGTCTCGTTAAGTTGCCCAGGGAGGGCTCCAAGTTGCGATCTTCCTGCCTCAGCCTCCCAGCATGCTGGGATGACGGGTGTGTGCGCTGGTACCCGGCCCCCTTCAGACTTTAAGTCTGCTCAGGATGACTTATAACACCTGATACAATGTACCTGTTACGCACACAGTTGTCTTACTGTGTCACTTAAGGAACGATGAGAAGAAAAAAATGCCCGTACATGTTCAGTGCACAGGCAATTGTTTTTTCAGAATATTTGTTATCCGAGGTCGGGTACGAGGATGTGACACACAGACACACAGAGGTCGGGCACAGAGACACACTTTTGTGCGCTAGAACAAGGACAAGGATCACAAAACCAGACAGAGCAAGGATGATTATGTCAAAGTGCCAGAAAACATGGTCAGGCGTGGTGGCGCACACCTGCAATCGTAACCCTTCGGAAGCTGAGGCACGAGGGTCACTGCAAGTTTGAGGCCGGCCTGGGCTACACAGTGAGCTCAAGACCAGCGTGAACTACACAGCAAGATCCTGTCTCAAAGAGCAAAGAGAAAAAAGAAAAGCAATAGATAAAGGTCGCTTTGTACCCAAGACACCCGAGCACACACAAACCTAAAACTGTACCCCCAGGCCTGCCTCCAAGCTTGTTTGCATTGTGATTTTGACCCTGCCCACTGGGCTTTGGACACCACCATTGCCTCTAAACAGCCTGTAGTCAAACCCCTCCCTGTGGGCAGGCGAAATCAGTACCCCATTGGGCCATAATTCCTGTCAATCCCAGCTATAGACCCTCCCACAGCCCCAGGGCCTTGAGACCCCAGGACATTACTTGCCCCTAAAGGGCTGTGAACCTCCGTTCCTGTGTGCAGTGTACTTTTGCTTTTAAGAAATCTTCCTCTAAGCCGGGCCTGGTGGCACAGGCCTGTCATCCCAGCACTGGGGAGGCTGAGGCAGGAGGATCGCTGTGAGTTCGAGACCAGCCTGGGCTACACAGTGAGTTCCAGGTCAGCCTCAACCACATAGTGAGACCCTGTCTCAAAAAAAGAAAAAAGAAATCTTCCTCTAGGGCCGGGGTTGTAGTTCAGTGGTACCATGCCTGCCTTGCAAGCACAAGGTCGTGAGTTCAATCCCTGGTACCCCAAATACACATACACACACACACACACACACACACACACACACACACACACACACACACATATATACGAAAAGAAATCTTCCTCTAGCTACTCTTTCTGAGTATCCTGCTCATTCTTTTCTAGGGACACCAAGAATATGGAAACATTGCTCCAAAGACCCCCATCTGATAACACTACTGTCCAGGCCGGGATTCCTGCTCCAAGGCACCAATCCCTCCTGCTGGCCAGGGCCCCTCTCTGGTCCTTGGCACCCTCCTTCCAAGTCCCAGGCTCACCCATGTTGGAGTTAACAGGGCCTGGGCGGGAGGCCCCACGTCGTGCAGACCCCAGGGCACGACCCCTGCTGTTGGACCGGAAGCCCAGGAAGCGAGTGAGAGGCCCCGCCTGGGAAGCTGGCAGCAGCCGCCCCTGGACACACAGCCGCTGGAATTCACCTGCAAAGAAAAAGGGGCTGAGGCCAGGCCCTCAGTCCTATCCAGGGCCCCAACCTGTGAGCCCCAGCTGTTACTCACCAGAGCCCCTGGAAGGACACAGCTCCGGGGCCGAGCCAACCGCCCAGCACCTCCCTTTGTCACAGCAACACTGCCTGCGAGTGTAGTGGCCAGCGAGGTCCACGGCACAGTGACCCCCGACTAGGACCGAGAAGCAGGTGCCGATTCGGAAGTCTGCAACGGGGCCAAAGGTGGGGTGTCAGTGTGGCACAGGGGCAGGGGAAGCACCAGTTGCTAGACCTGGATTCGAACCCCAGCAGCCAGGAGTGGTGGTGCACGCCTGCAGTCCCAGCACTCAGGAGGCTGAAGCAGGAGGATTCCAAGTTCAACCCCAGGCTGGGCAACTTAGTGAGTTAGCATATAGCTCAGTGTGAAGGCCCTGGATTCAAGTCCCAGAACCCAGAAAAGAAAAATACAGATGTACCCACACTGCCCGTACAATGGGTCTCCTTACCTATCCGTGCCTCAGCTTCCCCATCATTAAAATGAAGATACTCCAAGCACCCACCCTACTTCAAAAGAACATTATCCAGGTGGAAAATCTGGCATGTGGCTGATCTTCCCTTACTGTTAGCTCTGACTCCTGAGCTTTCCAAATTATCACAGGGAGGTAGATTTGGGCTTTTTCCAGACTAGCACTAAAACATCAGAAGTTGGCACTCATAGTGAGCTCCCTGTCGACACGGGTATCCAACCACACCAAGGATCACCCCTTGGTGGACAGGGTGCAGCCCGGTGGGAAGTCAAACAGGGATGCCAAGATTTGCACCTGTGTCCTGGAGGGCTGGCCTTGGATATTACAGGGGTACAGACAGACCATGAACTTGAAGAGGGTCCCCCGAAAAACAGGTATTGGATTCACAGTCACAGCCCCTGGGGAGGCAGAGGCTCCCCATGTGTGAGAACCACGGGCACCTGTCAGCTTCCCAGCAAGCCCTCAAGTCCCAGGGTGGAATGCGGTGGTCAGATTTCTCAGACTTTGGCTCAAATCGTGTTTATCTGAGTCTTGGCCAGTGGCCTGCAGTTGAAAAACCCCTCCCGCCAGCTGGGAGGGCCGCTGGCAGCCACCCCTGCCCCGCCGCAAGCAAGGAAAAATGTGCAAATGTTTCCACCTCCCATCCACCCAGTGCACCTGGGCCCCCAGGTGCGTGTGTGGGTGTGGAGTCCCCTCCTCCGGGCGCCGCGGCACCCCGAGAAGGGCCGGGCTGCCTGGGTGAAGAGGGGTCAGCAGATCGTCCAAGGTCACCCAGCTGCTAAATCTGGAGGAGGATGGGAAAGGAGATCCTCCGACCCCAAGGGATCTGAGCAGCCACTGCCTGTGAAGTAGGGAAGACAGAATGTAGGGACTGTAACCAGCAAGACACCGCTGCTGCTTTCAGGGCCCACTGCGACCAGGGCCCTGCTCAAGGACCTCGCCTCAGCGTCTGCGGGGCCCTTCCGGTCTCCGTGACTGCGTGTCAAGGGCCTGCTATGGAACAGGCATTTACAGATCACCCCATGGGTCTTGCTTAATCCTGGTTAGAACTGCTATTATCCCCACTGTACGCTGGTTGAGGAAACTGAGGCACAGAGCACTTAGGTCAGTTTCCCAAGGTCACAGGGCCTAGGAGCGCCCCAGCAAGCAGCCCGAACTCAGGACTGGAACCGAAGCCCAGACGGAGGCAACTGGACCCGGCTGTGCTGTGGAGGAACCGGGAGAGGCCCCGGCAGCCATCTGGGGGCCCAGGGGTAACCACCCCTCTCCCAGTTCCGGCCACAGTGGGGCCCAGAGGTGGAGACCTGGCCCGAGTCCAAACGCGACATCCCCTACCCGGCCTGAGGGGCCCAGGGTGAGCTGGGAAACCGCCAGGACCGCTCCCCTCCCCCCACCGGACCCTCCCCCCTGCAGCAGCGTGCACGTTCCTGCCAGCCTGACAGCCCCAGGCAACTCCTAGGGCCAGAGGACCAGCTCGTCAAGTAGCAGATGGGGGTGTCCCCTGCTGAGCGTGGGGACGGCAGGAGGGGAATGGGGGGCAGGAGAGTCAGAGCCCCTCCCCCTGGCCATGGGCCTCAGAGCTGAGTGCGGGCGTTTCTATCCTGACGTACTGTGCTGACTCCCCTTTCTGGGCCTCAGTGTACCCATCTTGAAAACCGGGTGGAAGGGAGCGAGACGAGGTGTTCTTGAGTGTTTGGAGGTGGAAAAGAGGATGGAGAGGCAGTGGTGGGAGACGGGCTAAAGAGCACAAGAGCATAAGGATGGATGTCAGAGTGGGGAAGGGGCATAGAGTTGAAAGCTAGAGGGTCAGATGGGGGAACATAGAGATGAAAGCTAGAGGGTCAGGGGGGCATAGAGATGAAAGCTAGAGGGTGGGGGGCATAGAGATGAAAGCTAGAAGGT